AAATGACCGAAATGGTTCAAGGCTTCTCCTCAGCTGCTGTAGGAGTGAAGGATTGATTTTAGTGTTTTCACTGTTTTAGTAGGGATGAACGTGATTCTGCACATTTGGTTGGTTTGCTTTGCAAATGCTGTATTGCACGGTTCTAGTCCTTCAAGATCATTGTATGGTTGATCATATGTATTTTGTAACATGACAAAGTTAATTCAATTAATTGAAATGTTGCTTTGCTCTCCCAATTTGACACGAGATGAATTTCTGCGCAGTTATTCCCTTCACTTTTGGAACTCTTTGTTATGCATTTTGGCATAACTATTTGGAAGAAGAATCAACTATCTGAACACCAAAACAAAGGCATTCCATTGAAACAATCAACTGTCATGTTACTGCACCAATTTAATTGAAACATGACATACATGCATGAAACATTTTTGGACAGCAAGTTACATGTACTAAATAGCGGCAACCTATACCAACAAACTAACTAGTCAGCACCAAGCTCATCGAAGTCAAACTGAAGTCATTATCCCCTTCAATTCTCAAAAGCTTTCCACGTCAAAATCACATTGTTAGCCATTATGCCTCCTGTAATGAAAGATTTCAGCAAGGCCACGTCCTCCTCTCACCTACCCAGCTTGCCATGATGCATATAAATCTCCTCCCTTGAAGTTTCATACCTACACGAAACCATAATGCCAATGCCACATTTTGATGAGGTGACCAAAAGAAGGTTTAACACTGATTGTTAATTACAATGAAAAAGCAAAGGCTGTCAAGCCATAAAGCCATACAGACACTAACTAGGTAAGTTTCTTTATGATCTTCATAGACAACTCACTCAAATGGAATTTAGGCCTACAAATTCTGCAAAGAGTCAGAAACAAAATAAACATCACAAAATTTCCAAAAAAAATTATCACCAGTCTTGACAACCATGACAACCACATCATATAATATTTTGGAACAACCCACCTCGTATTTTCAAAAGCAAGAGGAATTTATGTGCTTGAAGTACGAAATCAAAAACAATCTATGCGTGCAGGTTGGATAGAAATTATTACAAACATAAGTAAAATGATTTAACATAAACAAAACAAGGCGCTGAAATTACAAATATAGTTAAACTCACCATCCATGAAGATGCCTTGTAGAAGATATAAACAATGATATTGGTTCAAGGCCCTAATAATCTAAAAATATTCAACAACATTTTGGACCGGCAAAATACAAATACTTGGAAAAATAATAAATAAACTGAATCAAATGCGTTGATGATAGGTAGGATTTGTCTTATTGTACCTCAATTCACTATCAATTAAGTCAAATAACAAACATCTCATCTCAGTGAAGCCTCAAGAATCGCAGTGAAATTATTTTTATTGACAGAGGCTCTGGTGATTGCAAGGTTTAGACTTTTGAATTAAAGACACAGGGACCGTAAAAGTGTTCTTAAGAGCTCCGAAAATTGATTTTAAGTTAGGGTTCTGGGCTTCAAAAATGATTTCATTACTTATTTGTAACAATAAATAATAGCTTACCAGCAACAAATCGAAGCAAAACATGATCAGAAGAGGATTGTCAAGAGACCTTCAGCTTTCAGAGCTCAAACTTCGTCTCTAATTTATAAGACAGCCACCAGGAAGAGGAAGATAAGGATAAATAGCCTCTTGTTCAATCAAAAATAAGAGAAAAAGGAAGGCACATATTAACTTACCCACCAGGAAGAGCTCAAGCTTCGTCTCAAGTCACCAGGAAGAGGGCAATCATCATTGAATGTAGAGATTAGGGTTCTTCTATGGGAATTTTCTGATGCAAGTTGGAAGCCCTGAGTTTAACTTATAATTATATTTTAATTAAAATCTTAACAATTAGAGATGACCTAGCAGCCACCTAATAAATTAAAATGTGGTTACTTGTTTTATTCTAATTGGCTAGAGCATAGATGAGGTGGTGTACCCAAGAATTCCTCTTATATTATCATCAAAATCCATATGAGTAACATTAAACTAATTTTTCTTCCTATTTTGGGGAGACACAATCAAGGTGCATATTTACTTCTGATACCCAAATGCCATATATGAATCAGATGCATATACAATGATGTACATATAAACATATGTATGGATGTATGTATATTCAACAGGTCGACATTTTCATTTCTTAAAGAGTATAAGATACGATACTTCTAGGATGCGTTTATATATTCATGAAAAAATTTATAAAGAAAAAAAAATATAGTTGGAATTCAAACAAATGTAGACTAGAATATAGTCCTTTGTTACTACTGAATACCAAAAAATACATAATTTAATATAAGAACAAGTTGGGAGTTTAAATTTGATCCTAAATATAAAATCTTAATTTATTTTGTTTCTTAAATTTATAATTTTCCCCCCCAAAATATTCTTAAGGAGTTCCTATCAAAAATCAATTCAAATATATTCCTTTAGTCGTAAATATAAGATCTATTTCTTAAGGTAACCTATTTCGTAGTATAATTTTCACTACAAAATAGATCTTATATTTAGAAGAGGAGGAGTATATAATTAAAAATGATAGTTTAAAAAATCAAGGCGCATTTATTATAAATAATAAACCTGACTAATTTTCTTAATATCTATTAGTTATCTAGTTCTTCCATTAAAAAAATGGAGGTAATATCAATATTTTTTTGGAGCCTTTTGAAATAGTTTATAAATAACTTTTTAATCGTAATTTATGAAATACAAGATAAATATACGAGAGAAGTTTTGTTATATGAATTGTGCTTATAAGTTATTTTAAAACCATCTTCCCTTGCTTGACGTCATACGCAAGCAAACATAATAGTATTCTAAAATTTTCTAGCGCCATCAAAGTAATTCCGTGCATCCCCCCTTTTTGCCAGGTAATTCCATGAATTTCCGCTTATTCTTTTCCCTCCTATATAAAATGAAAAGCTTTAACATCATAATCTTTAGCTCAGGCAAAAAAAAAAAAACATCATAATCTTTAGCAGAATTTAATTTCTATATAAAAATTTCTTGAAGTATCCACTAAGATTCTAGGAGTATCCACATGTATAAAAAATTTTAAATTTTTTCTTAAAAAAGTATTTCAATTTCGATAGTATGTATCTGCTCCCTTGATCTTATAACTATATGAATATTAAGTAAATTAATTATTTATAATAAATAGGTGTTGTCTTTCCTACAATATCATTATTAATCATGTGTATTGAAACTACTACCTCTGGTCCTTAATATAAGATCTCATTTGATTTTTATTTTGATCTTAATTATGAGACTCTAATCCACTTTGTCTCTCATATTTATGCATTTTTTCCAAGATAGTCCTTCTAATAATAGTAGTTCTAGCCAATACACTTGATTGGCAATGATATTTTAGGAAAGACAACATCTATTTACTACAAATAACTAACTTAACTTATTTTCTTAATCTCTTCAAATTAGTCAACTAGCTCTTATAATTAGGACCGGAGGTAGTATCATTTAATATAAATTCTTTAACACATGCAATCAATATAAGGATTACTTTGAAGAAAAAAAGGACAAATATGTGAAATGAGGTGGATTTATGTCTTATATTTAAGATTAAAGTATTGTGGTGTATGATTATCTAGTATAATACAATACCAATACATCAAACAATTTGAAGTATTGATGCTTCATTGGAGTGTTCTTTTAATTTACTCTGAGTACAAAAGGCAAACAATAGACCGTTCCCAATTATGTTACTACATGTACAGGGTTGACATCTAAACTCACAATCGCTTGATTAAATATTTTGGCCAATTTTACTATTTATAAATTATACCCTATGTAACCTATTACTTAGTAATCAGAAAAAGTAATCTAGCAAAAATGTAAAAACAATTGTTGTATAATTAATTTATTTTTTTAAAATAAAGAATACGGGCTAGATATGCATCCGAATATGTAACAATTAGCGGCTTTAAGGAATGACTCAAAACAATGGCAAACTGCCTTAATGGTAATAATGTCACTTTAGATAAAGTTTTGAGTTTGAGTTGAGTGTTGATATTGTGGTTTTTTTTTGTGTGCGTGGTATTTGAATTGTATAAACCAAACAAAAAAGGGAAGGCACTAAAATAAGAGAACCTAAAAAGGAATTATAATATACATATTTTTGCCAAAAAAGTGAATTATAATATATGATTTTTAATTAATTATTATATATAAAACTAGTGCTAAATTTTAGTAATATCATACGCATGCTATTTATAAAAATTATAGTATATAAAGCTAATATATGTGTGGCTTCACATATAACTGATAATTCAAGTATGTTGTCAAAAAAGTTGTATATTTAACACTTAGAAACCGTCAAATATTTAAATCTAATTTAAAGTTTGTCTTTTTATTTGACAGTTAAAAATACTAAAATAAAATTATTTTACATGACGATGATATATTTTACCAAAAAAAACTGTCAAACATAGTTACTTTATTTGAAAGTTTTTCTTATGTGAAACACTGATCAAGGCAAATGACCTGCCCAAGAGTTAATCAACGCTATCTAGTTGACTAGTATTTATATTTTTACTTTTCAAGTGGGATTGAACACTTCTCTATATCATATAGAGACAATTATAATAAAGTCTTAAAATAAATTACTAGTAAGTCTTTGAAACTTATCTTTGTAGCCTGTTTTGCTATTAATAGAACTTTTTAGTAATTATACTTCTTATTTGGAACTTCATAATAATTATCCCTATTATATATTGTCAAGAGCAGTTAAATTATACAGTAAATAATGAACATTGGTTGATCGGATGGGTTACTACTATTTTTATTTTCTTCATGAATAATAATAAAAAACAGCACAGTTCCACCACTTCACTGCAGCCCAGGAACAGCTAAGTTGAAACAACTACACACAGCTATACACTTCCATTATTGTACAACCACTATTCATAATTTTTTCACAAAACTTCAACAAAAAAAAAATCTACTGCACTTCTTCCTTCAGAAGCTTTAATTTCATTCAGGGAAACAGTAACCTGCGATTCAGTAAATAAAATAACGATTAATGAAACTTGATAATCTTAATTGTTTAGAGTTTTAAACTGATCAAACTCACCCACATGGATTGCAAATCATTCATGTAAGCCACAGGACTTAACACTAAAAACTTCATCGTCATGGACAACTACTACATTAATGAGGTTAACAATATCATCTCAAATGTACAGAGACACGCAAATGTAGGTTGTTGAGTACTAACAAGTTGTAGAAAGTGAAGCTTATCTAGAGCACTTGGCCCATTCAAAGCATAATCTAATAAAATGATCTTAAATATATATAAGTACTAGATAATTAATTTACAGTTATTGAGAATGATTAACGAGGTTTGTTTTCTATAATAAATGTGTTAGTTTACCTAAAACACCAGATTCATTCATTTGCATTGAAAATTACCTTCATCAATAAACAAATAAAAATAAAAAGCCCCTTAGTATTGCAACCAATATGATTGTTTAAAAAAGAATTATAAATTTGTAAAATAAAATGGATTTAGGACTTACAGTTAAAACCTAAACCATGCTCTTAACTAACTTCTATATTTAGGACAAAATACTTTTGAGGGAGCAAAATAACTAATCTACAGTAACCGGAGATCAAACACCGCTCTCTCATCAGTGGCGTTTATAGCAACTTACCTTGTTGTGGGAGGCGCGTCTGATGGTTGATCTTGTTCATCCACAAGCCATCGGGCCTATCAACACATAATTTCATTTCCCAGTTCGATACAATTCCCAGATCAGTACTGACAAAAACAAAGACCATAAGAATCTGAAACCTGTTCATTACCTGATCTAATCTCTGGTTTTCTTCCATGGATTTGGTGAACTGGGTTGGCATTAAGTTTAAAAACATGGAAAGTGAGACATTATATTATCACTATGAAGACACATTAATGAGAAATTAATTGACAAGAGAATTAGTGACAAGAATCTGACAACCTTCTTTAGCCTCTCGTTTTCTTCCTTGAGTCCGTCTTCCTTTATTGACATCAAAATTAAAACGCATTATTAAAACAAATATGAGACATGAATGAAGACTCACAACGTGCTACAAAGATTAGCAAATATTTTATTAATGTAAGATGTTACTATAACTAAAATATGGGATGGAGGAAGTGCCTTAGACATTACTACATTGCATATTATATTACCACAAGACATTAAATGCTGTAAATATAAACTCAAAGTTATGGTTAAACTTAATCAGATGTGCTAAGTTCATTTTTTGTGTGTGTTTAAGTTGTTGACATTGGTAAGTATAGACTTTTTGATAAAGTTATGTGTTTAAAATTTTTTTTAAAAAATCTGCTTTAGTTCTGTACGAGTTTATGTATGTTGAATTTACGTGTCTTTAATTTGAGGCATGTCGTTTGTGGTTTTTTGTAATCTCTATTAACTATGGGCTTATTTGAAGGCTCACGGAAATTACTCGCTCCATTCCTTTTTGATGGTCACTTTTTAAGAAAATTCTTGTTTATATTTATCTGTCATTATAAAATTTGAAGATAAAAATAATTACTATTTTCTTCATTCTACCCTTGTCTTTACTAACTTCAGAATTCCAAAGGCAGCATTAATTACTAAAATAAAAGGTTAAGTTAGAAGGAATTAATTCTGATCAATACTTTCTCATTATAACACTGAGGAAAAGGCTGAATATAATGCATAGGATTCTTTTGATAAACAAACATAACGCTAACCTTTTTCTTTAGAACATTGATCTCCTGCTCAAATACTTCGACCTGAAACATATAGAATTAGTTTCTATCTGTTCTAAATATTGCAAGCTGCGTTTTACCCATACCATGGAATCGAAGAACAGATAGAAAGAACAAACGCATCACAACTGTTTACTATCGCTAAATAGTACAGAAACAAATGAAAAAAAAGAAGAGGCAACGTTATAGTGAACAGAAAACAGTATCAATAAACTCTAATCTTTATAACATAGTGAATAACATTGCATATCATCTCTCCAAAAAATGCTTTTTTGAATCAAACCCATATGAAGCTCGGAAAAGCAAGAAGCCTCAGGCAAGCCACTTACAATTCCTAGTTGTCTAGCTATGTTTAGGTTAAATTTCATTCTTGAATTGACGAAAAATAGGGGGAAAAAAACTAAATTTTAAATTGGCTAGAGTAGTCAAACCAAAGCGTGTCATCTGTATAATCTTACAAGTGTTAAAGTAATAGTTAGCAGGAATATTGTATCCAATGAAGAGGCTAGTTGGGAATGGAATATGAACAAGGGAGCCATTCTTATTTGAATCCCTATAGACTGAGTTTGACAATGGGCAAGCAACGCCAACCTCCATTGTCAAGTCCATATTCTTTCTCATTTTCCTCACCTAGTGAAAGAAGTACCACAAGATTAACAGTTCTTCAGCATGAAGATCCTCTAGTGAAATACCGCCAAAAAATTCCAATGTCTACTAAAAGCAAATTTATGCATTTTGTAGTTTTTCTGTGTATGTTTCAAACGCCATCACCCAACTTCTTTAGAAGCAATAGAAAAATTTGAGGGGCAAAGTGCGACGACGGAGGAGATTAAAGCCATCCATAAAACTCAACATGGGTGGGAGTTAGATGTTCATGAAGGCCAAAATGTTATAAGGTCCCGAGGGGTAGAGCTGTTAGAGCCCAACACATTTAAACCAGCAGGCTTAACAATTAGGTCCCAAAATGAGTAAATGGGCTAAACGTTGGGCCCATTTCGGTCAAATAATTAAAAGGCCATCCCTTAAATATGTTTTTAAATTATTTAACTACTAGAGACCAAGAGAGCTTCAGTCCTTCCATCCTCACACCAACTGCCTTCTGATCTCATTGTCAAGCTTCAACTCTTCAATCTTCCTTCAACTCTCAAAGTCTCACTTAGCTTGGTTGTTCTATGCGGGGTAAATTGTTTGTGGTTTTATCCTTCCCCATTCCTCTGCTGACAATGCAGCGTCCTTGACTTCTTTCTCCTAGGTACTCCTTCCTTCCTCTTGTACTCTACTCTATCCTACTCCTCTTGTTCTTTCATTTAACATGATTAATGTTCTGTTAACATAGAGAAGTTCTTATGAACTTGATCAGAGCATGTTTGAATCAATTATTTGTGCTTAATGTTAATTTTGTTTGTTCAAACACGCATGTATTTGTTTAGTTGCTGCTTGGCCAATATTAATTATGAATTAGGAGGATTAGGTTTTTCCTTGACAAAGGGAATCTTGATTATGAATATAGATTGGGAAAGTGGGACTAGATGTGTTCTAATTTGCCATTAGGATAAACATATACCTAATGGACCCCATAAAATCATTAAAGAGTAACTTTGGATTTTATTGCCTCTGGAGTAATTATGCTGGGAATGGCATGTTTAAAACATTAAGAGAGGAGTATATGTGAATCAAGAGACATTAATAGCCACTAAAACTTCATATTAACTAAAAGGGGTTACCATTATAGGGTATGTGGTTTTGGAACAAGAACATTACCATTATGGCTTATACATTTTTAATTTGAAAATGTTAAAAAAATAGCTTTTTTGGCCCGGCCCTTACTAATGGAAGCATTTAAGAGTATAAAGCTCGATTTGTTTTCAAGGGATACTAACAACAAGGTATGAATTTTGAGGAGACTTCTCCAACTGCTCAATTTGAAATTGTGAGGGTTGTTTCATTTTTGCTTTCTTAGTTGCAGTTACCTGTTATTAATTTGATTCAAATTCTGCTTTTTAAATGATGAGTTAGAAGACGAGGTTAATGTGACATCCTATAATTTAGAAGGAACTCACATGAAAATTTTGTAGGGACCAACTTGTAAAGAAATATATAGTTTTGAGGTTTTATCCTAATTATGTATAGTGAAGGAGAAGTTGTGGCAGAAATATATAACTTCAAAACTATGGTACAAAACAGTCCCCTCAACATTAGAATGTATAATAAGGGAAAGTAAGAGATTTACAAGAGATTAAACCATATCTTTCTACAAAAGATGTATTTTGATATATTTACCCCTTCATTAAAAAAAATATTTTAAAATATTAATCCTTTTATGGAGCAACTCCTACACATTATAAACCCTAATTTTCTTTTGCCGCTAGGCCAAAAAAAAAAAACAAGGCAATGATAGCTTTACTAAGATGCAAGGAAGGAGAAAGCAAATGAAAATTGAGAAAGTTATCTACATCACTAACCTAAACTTTCTCCTCTAATTCTACACACTTGTTGTTGTAAAACACATAGTAAGGAAATCTCTTATGAGTACAAGCCAAAGGAGAGCTCAATCCCAAAAGACTAGTATATTAGAAGAAAGAGCTCATTAAACTCATAAACCACACTACACTTGCAAGACTCCCCAATATGGGAATCACAACAAAATCCTTGATATTGTCAATTCTGCACAAGATAGCAATCCTACTCTTCTTATATGTCTGTCTTGTTTGCGTGCCTAGTTTATTTTACTCAAAGTTAGAGCCTTGAATAGTTAAATATTGCCTCTTTGGCAAAGAATTATACCCTTGCGGTAAAGAAACTTGAAGGCAGAGCCTGTATAGTAAGAAAGCCTTGTGGCTAAGAGATGTCTTTATGGCATAAAAAGCAGGATAGGTAAAGGGGAGAGTGCAGTGGTTCTCTAATAATGAATTCTAGGTGTTTGTGATATCATCTAATTAATATGTATGTCATCTTTTATATAGTGATTCATTTTATGTTATTATATATATGTTATTCCCTTCCTATTGGGATTTTCCCCAAAATATCATCCCATCTTGTCAACCCATACTTGGCGAAGTTAGTGGAACATACAATGACAGGCAAGTTGTCAATGAGTTTTGAGAAGAATAAAGAGGATCTAATTCAATTATGATTCAGTTACGTTTGGAATAATTAAGGGATGAAAAGCATCCCGTAATTGGGTTAGATTTATCAGGTTTCTCATATTGGAGTTATAATGGTCAACCTAAGTCATATTTGGCATATTCGGTAAATTATAGTTATAAATATATAAAATGATTTATGAACAGAGATTTGAGAGGACTATGAATGATTTTCCTATATCTGTACCATTTGGATACATAGGATATGAGGATTATGAGACTGCTCATTATCAATTATAAAAGGAATGCGGATAAGGTTAGTTAGTGTCCTAAATCGGTCATTGTGAGCATTCTTTAATTTGTATCTTACACAGTTGAAGGGTCAAATGAGCATCAAACAGGAAAAATCATTTCCTATAACTAAAGGACATGTAGAGCATTAAAACTAGAATTTATTTAGGTTACGTCGATCCCTGTAGCAAGAGGCAAAGTTGAAACACAATACAAGAGAAAATGTTTAAATTATGCATTTTATTATGAGGATATAGTTGCTTTTTGATCCGCGATTTAAAATTATGTTCACAAAAGGGGAAAGAATTATAGATCATTACTAACATTCTTTGCTGGAACCATGGATTAAGGTAGCCTTATGGTAGCCCCCAAAAAAAAAAAAAAAAGTAGCCTCATGGTAGCCAAAAAACAAAGAACAAAAAGGTGGCAGTATAAAGAGACTTTAATTGACCTTTCTAATGATAAAAGAATAGGGAGATCTTGACCTTATCTAATTTTTATTTCATTCACTTCCTATTTTTTATGCCGCAATGAATATTTGAAATATAATATATAGTTTTGTCATTATAAAAGGGACAAATCGAATATTATGAGCTAAACAAGATGAATAACTGTCAAATAAGCCTCTGCATATGAGACAGTTGGGAAAACGACCAGAAAAAAAACATGTTGAATTTCAAAAAGACAAATAGGCCATGGTTACTATTCTTGTAATGGTTTGGACTACTCTTGTAATGACTTTAGCAAGTCAAAATCAATCAAAATCACTTAGCTGTCATTTTGAAATTCAACAGGTATTTTTTTTGTTATTTTTCCTCTTTCTCAAATAAGCCATTGTTTAATTGACAGTTGATAACTGTAATTTAGGGATAAAAAAATCATAAAATATTTCAATTTTTGTATTACTGTCATAAAAGGAAAAGACAAACCTTTGCTTTTGAACGATGCAAGCTTGTGCTAAGTAAATCTTCTAGCTTCCTCAGATCTTTTACAGACAGCCCTTGTAGATCTTCCCATTGAGCTGTCTATTATTAGATGTGGAGCAACATATTTGAATCTATAATAAACACATTGTACATCCCCCATAATAAAATCTTTAACACCATTTAATAATGGTAATAGTAATACCTTATTTCAAGAGTCTTCTCTTCTATTTCCTTGTTTAGCTTAAAATATTCACCTTCAACCTGTCCAATTACCATATGCTTTCCACATTCAATGACAAAAGTTTTGGTATACTCCAAGCATTTTCATATTAGGTATGTATATGGTCCATCATACCCTTGAATAAAAAAAGAAGTAACTGTTGAATAATTATTGCAGTAATATAATATACTTCCTAAATATTAGTTAAGAGGTTTCTTTTGGTTCTAATTGAAGTAGACCTCTCACTTTTTATTCCAAATTTATAATTTTTTGTGAAATTATCTCTATTTTTATAGGCATTAATATCCTTCTAGTAGAGGCAATCCTAATTACACAAATAAAAGGAGTTTTCATCAATGAGTGTAGTTTCCAATGCCAGTGACTAGAGGGGATATTTCAGGATAACCAACACACATTTTTTAACAAATAACTAATTTAATTTTCTTAATATATGTAAATTACTTATCTAACTCGAATATTTAGGGTGAGGGAAGTATATTGTACTCCCTGATCCATATTATAAGACGTTTCTAACTAATTTCCAAGTCCTAAAAAAAATAGTTAAAAGCATTAAATTTGTCATAAAATTTAAGAGATTTCTAATATTATCCTTATTAATCACACTAAATTCCAATATCATACTAATTTTTATTCTCTCTCACTATCCTTATTAAATATGGGCATATATGGGAAGAAATATTTAATGCTCATTGAAACTATCAAAATGTCTTATAACCAAAAATATTTTTGTAAGATTTTTTTATATACAGACACACAGACAGAGATGGGAAAAAGAAAGATGAATCAAAACAGCAACAGATGAAGGGGTAGAGAGCAGAAGAAAAATTATACCTGTAGCTCTTGAGATGGCTGGTATGACTTCACAAGGTTCACATCTGAGTATAGGTTTCTCCTTTCAATTACTTGCCTCGTGCTTAAAACAACAAAAATATTGAAAATTAAAATGGAAGTCGTACTTTAAAACTATTTCTAACCGAATTATATAGCATAAATTATCATTTGATGAATTAAAATTATTTATGGAATTTAAATTTTAATGGAAGTCATACTTTTGCTGTGGGGAGGGGCACAATGGAAGTCATAGTTAAAATAAGTGAATTTAAATACAGCATTAAATTTGCTTATGTATCCAATCAGTCATGTATATATATACCAATGAATTTATTCTTAGTGGCTTCCATGGCCAAACATTACAGATGGGTGTTTTATTTAGAGATATATATGTGACAATAATGTGTAATATAATAGCATTTGTTTAATTAACCGAATCTTAACTCTAGATAGACTCATTCAAAATTATAACATTTAAATATTGCCATTAATGGATATCAAAATATGAAGACAACAAGGAAAACGTCAAGAGCAATCTGTGATAAGCTGATAGCCTTACAAAACTTTTAGTATCTTCAAAGCAAAAGTGACCCGACTGTTCTAGTAGCATGTTCTCATAATCCTCTTTAAACTGTTTTAATCCACCTAATTAATCAATAAAAAATACAAAGAAAAAAAATTATGAACTAAAAGTTAATTTGGGATGTTCTCTATTGCCCAAAAAAGAAAACATCCCTGCCTCTTAAAAGTATGCCGTATTTGTACTTCTCTAGACCATTTAAATTAAACTAGAAGATTTAAATCTTCTTTTGATATTTTTATTTTCAAAGCAACATAGTAAAAAAAATATATACAATTTTCCAACACCATTGAAAGTGATTTTGAATAAAAATAGAATTAAAATATAAGATAAAAACCATCTCATATACAGCCTATCTCCCTAGAGATGAGAGAGGACATGCAGTACCGCTTGAACAGCGTATTGTGGGCCTTTTTTTTTTCCCCCCTGTTTCCAAAAGAAATCAAAGACGAATACATTATTCTTGACTTGTGAATAGCGTAGTTTCTTGTAGATTTTAAATAATTGATATAACTATATTGATCGTTATGGAAAGAATCATTTTTTTTTACAGAAGAAAAATAGCATCTTGACATTAACAAAAGCCTCTGGAACTGAAGCAGCTTCATGAAATCTAATATTCCTCCATATATGTGTCGTTTTCGTTATTTTCAAACCACTATTTTGTACTGTTTTAAGTTTTAAACGTTGATTATTGTACATATTATTCACATCAACGTTGAACAAATTCCATAGTCTCTTCCAAGACTATCAAGATTTCAGTGTTCAAACTATTTTAGCAGCAACCTCAAGACATTGTGTAAAAAGTTAAAGGTATAAGCAAAACACAGTTATGATGAGATTACTCATTATTTTCAATTATACCCACATGATTAATTCTCAGATACACACACATATATAAAAGCACACAAAAGGACTATATCACAACTTTTTGGTCAGCACGTCTAGTTCAAGTTTTCTTCTTACAGCAAGAGAAGTACTGTGTGGAAGCAACTTGAACCTAAATCATTTCAATTAGAGAGAGAGAGAGAGAGAGAGAAGATACCTTGTACTGGCACAACAGAAGGTAATTTTCGCCGAAACATGAACATGGTAATTGATGATCAAACAGATGAGATACATAAATGCTGACACTTAAAAAAGAATAGACAAATGAATCATGGGTCAAACTTGGTATGCTAATAATCTGGATTCTAGGTTGAGTGATTGTGCTTTTTAGAGCCATTTCATGTGAAATCTCACTCTATCAAAACTGAAGGAGATTATATAGACAAATTTAGAAGAGAGCACAAATGAGACGAATAAAAGCATAGGCTATCACAGCTTCTTTATCAGCAAATAAAGATCAGGATTTATTTTCCTCTAAACAAAAACGAAAATCCCAGACGTGATTAAAATTCAGATTATTCTGATTCCTAGTGATAGAACACACATATACATTATATACAGAGAGAAAAGATACCTTGTACTAGCATAATCAAAGAGTTTGCCCGAAGCTGAAAATACTACGAGAGCAATCTCAGCATCACAGAGAGTTGACAGCTCCATAGCCTTCTTGAATAGACCTTTCCTTCTCTTTGAGAAAGCCACCTGCCTCGCAGCTACGTTCTCGATCTTCTTTATTGCTATCTTCCTTCTCGTCATTTCAACCAATCTCTCCTTCAAACTAAAACCAAGTTAAATCAAAGAGAAAGAATTAGGGAAATCTAAAGATTTAATCCAGTCTCAGACAAAAATTAATTACGCAGAAGAATATTATCTGCGTGTTAAACGAAAAAGACAAGCATAAAATGAAGAGAACTTGGATTGGGCGTAGGTGGAACAACAAGATAAAAAGAGTTTGAGGCTTGGATAGGATAGATTAGGAAGGATAAGTGCAGATCTAAGTAAGAAATACAGAGAGAAGGGGAGGTTTCTTCTTGAGAAGGAGAGCGAAGTGTTGTTACCTGCAAGAATATTCTGAAATGTGATGACTGAAGAAAGGATGAAAGATAGAGTCTTGGTGAGCAGGAAATTATTAAGGAGGAGACAGGCTTCCCTAAATTAAAAAAAAAAAAAAGGAAAAAAGAAGAAACTCTTGCGGTGGGTAATTGGTTGCATTATTGCAGCTTTATACATGGGCACACGCATTCGCTATTTAGTTTACGAGTTTGGGATCACTAATTCACTAAAAAAAAAAAAAAAAAGCTACCACTCTACTCCTCATGAGAAATTTTTTTGTCAAAACATCGGTAATTTGTGGGTATTTAACGATTATTTTCTAATTTTGTGAGCTCTTATTTAATTTTTATTGAAAAAAGAGAAAAAGAATAACAGGTAAGAATGATTTGTAGATAAAGAGAAATAGAAAATTTTAATGAGGGTGTGTTTAAAAATTTTATCCATAAATACAGTTTTTGGTACGTGAGAATAAGTTATAAGTAACTTATAATAAAAACTCGAGTAGTATTATATTTTGAGACAAAATTCTCTTTACATATTTATTTTATATAATATAAAATTACTAAAATAAATTGTGTTAAATTATATTTAGTATTCTAAAGTATTTTTATGGTATTTAGTATCAAAAACTAATTTTTTTTATATTCATTTAGCATTTTAAAGTATTTTTTTACAGCTCCTAATGTTCTAAAATAAATTTTAGTACAATTTTGTCCCTAAAGCATTTTTCTAATAGCAAGTAGTACTCTCTACACTTATGATACTGAATATTACTAAAAATATATATTAATTATGGTGATAGATACACCAAAAATTATTTTAAGATACTATATGTTATTGAAAAATTGTTTTAGAGTGTTGGAGGAGGGGGTGAGGGAGGAGGTATTTGGTTATTTTTTGAGCACATTGTTCATCCCTCCTGTGCTATAGATGCATTTGAAAATAAAAGTTTAAATTATAAGCTGCCTAGTAAGTTAACGGCTCATTGGGACAGATAAACAATACACCCCTTAGAAACATATAAGAAGTTTTCTCCTTGTACAGCAAGAAAAATTCAAAATTCTGTCTATGTATAGAATTATGATGTCAAATAGATTCATAAAATCATCAAATCCATTAGACTATGATTTAAATTAAATACTTTTTTCTTATTCTTTCCGAAAAAAGAAAATCACTCGTATTCGCAACTCACGACTCAAGCTGGATAACTCTCAAATAACTCAAAGGAAAACAAAACCTTTATTAGGCATTTTATTTCATTTATTGAGGGGTCTCTTCCCCTTTTCTTTCTGTCTATTAATTAAAAGCTGCCTGGTAATTGTTGGAATATTTTTAAAATGAAAGATGTGTTTTTGAAAAGTCATGTTCTTATGTAAATTTATTAAATTAATAATTTATATGAGGGGTTATGTCTTCATATAAATTAATAAATTTATTTGAAGAGTTGTATTCTCACATAAATTAATATATTTATATGAAAAATTGTGTCTTCATATAAATTATATATTTATATGAAAGGCTATGTAGGTAGTTACAATACTAAAAGACCCTACATATTAAATACATTTTATTTATTTAAATTATGTTAGTTCATGAACCAACATATGGGACTTGTATTTAATAAAGTATTATTTCAAAAGGCATCTCTTCAAGACATCATTCCATGGTCTCTATAAACCCATCACCATCACTTCATTTGGATACAACACAATTCAAACACAAAGATCAAACTCACTGCCTTTGTCTTTGAGTGAACGTAGAGATAGAGTCAAATTATCACCTTGTAAAGGCCATTGTTTTATTCGCTTGAATCTTGAAGTGCAATCTATATTCAAGAGTCTTCATTGTATCCTGAAAGAAATTTGCCAATCAACCCCACTTGCATCCTATAAGATAAGAATAGGTAGAGACGAATTAAGCCTAAAGAAAAGTCCTGCCCATACCTTGAAAACATCGTACACCACTTTCTTTTTCCTCTCTTCTTCTTGTACTCTTCACAAAACCATCCCTACCAGCAGTAATAATATTAGATGATTTTTTATTTTATTTTTATAATTTTAATAGCGACTTCATTTCTCTTTAATTTAATTGAAATGTTACAATATTTTCAAATCAATTAAAAATTAACAACTTTTTTATTTTGGATAAGAAAGTGGATACGACGAGACGGAACAATTCTTCATTTGAGGGGAAAAACTAATTATAATTCTTTCTAATTGATAATTATGTCAGATCATATTAACAATTAATATTAAATAAAGTGAGTATTAAAGTATGTATAAAACTATTAAAGTTATTAACAATTTTAGATAAGATATCGAAATATTATTTTCTAAAAATCCCTTTGACAATTCATATATTTTTGTCCAATGTTGATGACTGAATATATTAAATTTTTATGTGTTGATGTACAGATATTTTCTTATTGGAACAATCTATTTGAGGTATTGGCAGACACTAAACGTTAGAAGACAGTGCTTTGAATATGATTATTTTTAATAGGAGAATACTGATGCCAGAGAAGGAAAAAAATACCTGATGATTAAAAAGAACTAACTTTAAAAAATATCTAATATCTAGTTTTGAATGAATTCAATAATGTGTATTGTTTTAAGAGATAGATGAATGAAAAAATTTACCTATTATACTATCAAAAAAAAACAGAAACCAGGCAGGCCCGTAATAAAATGTCAGGGAAAAATACTCATTAATTTTTCAAAACGGGGCAAAAATGCTATTTTTGTTGACTACCCTTAACATCCATCACTTTTTTTTTGTGAATCCCACTAAGCATACACGTGTTTCTTTCTCACTACTCACTTTGTCATCTACTCACACATTATCACACACCCTCACTTTTTCTTTCATTTCTCTATCTCTCCCCTCCCTCTCTTC